TTAGAGCTGGCAAACCTCATGGTCATTGTCAGTCCTCTTTTACTTAGCTTTTCTTTTCTTGACATGGTGTCATCACTGTAAGGTTAAAGTCCTGGGTTCAAATCCAACATACTTCATATAACCACTCTTGAAAAATGGCAAAAAGGAGGGAAGATTCAAAAGGTGGGGTTGAGATGGGAAGTTAGTGTTCGAGTGGATCGAGGTCACGATAGCTCAAGTGGTAGAGAAGCGGCGTATCTAGCCGAAGATCGTGGGTTCGAATCCCGCTCGTGCCATTGACTTTTTTATCTCAACTAAAAACCTTAATTAATTGTAGTATGATATAATGTTTAACCAACTCTCTCTTTTCTTTATCATATTGCTAACCTCTTGTACCTCATTATGCATAATATATACATATTATACATCAATACACAGGATCAAGATAAAAACATAATAGTATGGTTAGCTAAGTTATTTCTCAGGTTAATTGGAGATGTACCCCTCAATTCATGCTAACAAATTACCTTCACACACCAGAGTGACCAATATTCCTTGGGGTGGATAATTGGAGATAAGCCCCTTCATTCACATGAATAAGTTACATTCACACTTTCATTCACACTACTCCAGAGTACTCGACATTCCGCAGGGTAATTGAAGATATACTCCTCCATTCATGCTAATAAATTACCTTTACACACCAGACTTTGTTCACACTAGTCCAGAATGTCCAATATTCCTTGGGGTAGATAATTGGAGATAAGCCCCTTCATTCACATGAATAAGTTACATTCACACTTCTCCAGAGTATTCAATATTCTTCAGGGTAATTAGGCATAAACCATTTATGCTAATAAATAACCCATTTTTGTTTAGTGGACATAATTGATCTATTTAATTATTTCAATTAGTTATACTTTTTATCTAAAGTCTTTTTCCCCTTAGTCCCCCTTGGCTTCGTTCTCTAAAGCCTTGGTTGAAATGAAAAAGTTAGTGTCACGAGTGGGATTTGCACCCACAACCTTCAGCTCCACCAAGAACCACTTGGTCACGAAGGCTGTGGGTTCGAATTCCACTCATGACACTAACTTTTTCATCACAACCAGACTTTAGATCAAAGGTATAATTAATTGCTCAATATTCCTCAACATAATTGGGGATAAGCCCCTGATGTTTATGATACTGCAGACCCCTTGCCATGAATTTAAATCAGCCTTTATACAAATAAATAACATAAAAAAATACAAAACAAATTTCTCCAAATAAAATATTTGGAAGTATGGAATAAAATAAAGCGTACTAATAAATAAAATTTCCAATTTTTTTACTTGAATCGCTTTATATTTCACATGTCAAATTCCAAAAACTGAGCTGGGATATAAAGTAAGGACAATAAAACCCATATTTATTATAAATAATGATTAGCTTTATTTTATCAGCAGTAATACTCTAAATAATGTGTAGTGCATTTTATAATTCTTGTGGTAATGTAAAGGTAAGAGTTCTGTCTTTTTTTTGTTGGTGAAATTTCATTTATTGTTATTCCCGTTAAGTACCATAATTAGTACTTTTTCTTGTTAATATAAATTAACCTGAAAATTGCTGTTTAGTTTTGTAATAACGAAGTATAAAGGCAATGCAAACTAAAATAATGTAATGCAGATATAATTCGTTGTTCATAATTACTCTCAGTATATATATTTTTTAATTAGTACTATTATAAATTTGAAATTTGTAAATTAATTGAGCTTAATATACAGTATGAAAGCTCATGGTAGCTGTAAAAATTTATTTTTTAACAAATTTTGCAAATTAAATTTTCAATAGCAGCTAAACTGTACTTATTGCGCCTGCAACTATAATAATACATATGGTCATACCAATGTTATGTGTAATGTGTGATAGTTATGACTTTTATATATTTGTTTTATTTGGTTAAAATTGATATGTATCAACAAGAAATGTCCATATTGTAATGTCAACAATCATAAATCTTCCTTCCCAATTGAATTCCTCAAAAAAAGAAATCATATCAATTAAACATAAAATAGCAATTTCATTTAGATTTTTTAAACAAATCAACGTTCGTAATAACACCTAATCACTTAAATGACTAAAATATTTCTACATTAGATTTAAAATGCTACAGTCCTATTCGATACCCTCTTCACCTGTCAACTACGTAATCTTCGATTGTGCGAGCGTAAATAACATTTATTGTTGCTTTTTTTTTCTTTTTTTAATTGAAGGTGTACTTTAAAAATAAAGTTTATTGTTATATACAAGGTGGTATTGCTTCATAATAGATTCAATAATAATATTTAGGAAGCATTTTTTTTTTTTATAATGTATTTAAAATATTGATCAATTATTGCTCTGGAGATTGCTTTAAAATTTACAAAGCATACTTTTAAAATTTCAACATATGTATATAGATTACAATCGTAAAATCAATAACATTACAACCTACTTATAAAAATTGTTAAGCAGGAAGCTTGATAATAAGTGGTAGAAATATTACGTAACAAGTAACTACAATAGAGTATTACAGAGTTGACATAAATGAGAAGATTACATTTAAATTAAATAAATCTATAAAAGAGGCATTTCATTCAATTCGCACATCTTGATTACAACTCTGGTTTGCTCATAGATTTTCCCCCTTTGACAACACATTACACATGTTAGGATAAAAACTGTGTTATGCGACCCTTAAATAAGTTGCCTTGTTTTGAAATTTAGTTTAAATTTCAGTTTTCAATTGATTAACAAGTGGCAATGCATGAAAACTTTGTTAATAAACACACAAATATAAGTTTAAAATATGACACTTTTTTTGTTGTACAAATTAGATTTTTGTTTAAATGTTTAATAACAATAATTTTTATTTTTTCTGTAGTTTTTCTTTTCTACAATAATAATAAATCAATTATCACATAAATTGTTTTTTTTGCCTTTTGTTCAGACATTCTACATTTGTTATATAAAATTGATTCCCTAAATACAATTTTTACAAGTTTGTTGACATAGACCACTGTACACTTTGTTATTGTTTTAAATCGAAGTAACATTACTATTATATTACAAAATGTTACTTTTCTGGACCCATGTAATTTCAGCAATCTCTAAATTGAATAAAACTAATTATTATTTTTCACAATCCTTTTGCATATTTTTTACATTTTTTGTTTTTTTCTTATTTAATTGGAACAACAGTTTTGTAAGAAATATCTTTTTTAAATGTAGATCATGGCTCCATGTACTTTAGCAGTATAATTCCAACAATCATTCCATTTAACTTACATATCATGAAACATTATCTCTTCAAAAATAGAAGTATTTATATAATATTCAATAAAGTGTTATTTTCTCTACACAATTTGAAGAAGTTGCAATATCAATTTAGAAAATTTGAAAGATGTGCAGCTTCAAAGTATCAATTTGAACACCCGCTTCATTTTATTTTTTATTATTTTATATATATATTCAGATTATTTGTGTAAACATTCATTAAATTTTACTTAAAAAGGACAACTTTTACAAGAACAAACAATATACTAGAAACACATGCAAACTAATATTTGAAAGACAATGGCTTATCCTAAGATTACATTTGTTTTCTTTGTGAATAAGAGCTTTTATTACAACTTCATTGTAAACATTTTTTTTGTATGTGTGTATGTTTTCTCTCTCTCTCTCTCACTTTCTCTCTAAAAAATTAAGGCCAGTACATTTCTTATTTATTCAAAACATTAAAACGAATGAAAAAATATTTCAACGATCAAATTATAATTAAGGCACAATATTTTGAAAAAGTTGAATTTTTTTAAATTTTATTTGCGGTGTTTGTATGAATGAGACATATGTGATATGATTTCTACAATTTATCTGACATGCTTTCAATTTTTTTTTATCAAGGTCAGAAGACATTAGAAAATATTGCATGCTTTCAATGAAATTCAAATCTTATATTTTAATAAAGTTAAATTCATTATATAAACAAAGTTTGACTCCTCATTGGAACACAGACATTTTTGAAAGCATAAATGGTTTTTAGAAAATTCTAAAAGTAAATGTTATAAATTTTTAGTTACTTATACAACTAATATGGTGAAATAATTTTATAATTTAATATTCAAAATTATGATTAAATAATTTGATATTCCAAATAAAATTTTAATGACGTTTAAACCAATAGGATGCTAATTATTAACTCCAATGATAATAGGATAAAGTATTTCCTCGTCAGACTACATTTATAAATAGAACAGGGCCAATGGCAAGCTTTAACAAAGTAAATAAAATAAGCAATATAATTTTATAAATTTTATCTTTTATCATTTGCTAAATTGTTTCTTTAAACAAAAACAATATTAAAGAGACATGCATTTCAAATTAATTAGAAATGGAAATAAACTTTGATTTTCTTATTAGATTGATTTTTCCTTGAGAATATATAAATACAAGTCAAAAGAAGTGGGATCAGTTAAAATAAATACATAAAACCTCTCTATACATTGATCCCAACTTATTATGTTTCTTTCAAGAATGGCATAAAATAGGCTTCAAGTTATAGACAGAACACTACAAAAGAAGAAGACATTTTTTTTTAACAGCACCTCATTTGAGAGATGATACTTCATGATAATGTAATATATGTTATTTTGAAAATATGTTGATTTCATTAAACTTTTTTTCAAAACAAAAGTCTATTGGCCTGAGACATTTAAAAAAAAAAAAGAATTTCATGTAATTTACCAGTGCAAAATAAATTGATATCAATATTTTGAAACTGCTTTTTGACATTGTTTTATAACCAATGCAGTTTATTATATATATAATTTATTTATTTACATACATTTATTATCTTCTTGATATAATATTTACATCATAATTTTCTATATTTACAATTGAATATTTGCTATTATAATATTATTAAATTCAATGGTAGCTGACTTTATTAATTGTATGTACTATAACATATTTAACAAACATTTTTCTTTCCAAAGAATTATTGTATTCAATTGACCTATTTTTATTCAATTAACAGAAGAAAAACATGTTAATTAACTTAATTATTATTGAATATATTAAGTAAGTGTTTACAGGAAGAAACACTATGTTGCAACATTTAACCCAAGAGGACCTAAAGGTGTATTTTAAAGTTTAAAACTTACTATTAATGGAGGCTTAAAATGTGTTTACAGAAAATATCACAAATTGTAGCTAAATGTTTAATTGAAAACAAGAGATCCAATTGGACGTTTCTTTGATTTTTTCCAAGTATAAACATAATAACAAAAGTGTATAACAATAACAATCTGACAATTATTACAGTTGGTTGATATGTGTATTGACCTTAAATTTATTTCCAGGTTTAATCAACTAATAAGTGTAATTAAGGCAATGTTGTCTTAATCTTAGAATGGTTGGATCTGTATTTTCAAAATAAAAAATAAATAAGCGACAATAAATGCAGAGTTGTCACAAAAAGTCACTTAATAAAATGCTTTTATCCACTAATTGACTTATTTCTACTAAAACAAATTTAATTATTTAAAAAGTAATGATACTCTAAATAAACCCAAACAATTTGGACTGTGCTATATGAAAGAGTAATTGACTAACTGTTCCCAAAATTGACATAATTTTATCTTATTTAAGAGATCATCAAAGAGTTTGCTTTGAACCACTCAATAAACTCTTGACATTTTGTGACAAACCTGAAAATAATATCAAAAAATATATTTGGAACAGAAACAAGGCCACTTTTTAAGCCAATACTAAAGAAATTCTCTAGGTCTTCTTGCATAAGGCCTCTTAGAAGCTTCTTCTTCAGTTTTAGCTGGCTGGGAAGTCTGTGGCTGTAGGGAAGTTGGAGATTGGTCCGGTTGCTCTTGATCCGAAGGTCGAGAAGATTCAGTTGGACTGCTACGAGGGGGAACACTTGGGGCTGCACCTTTTGTCCTCGATTTTGACCTTCGTTTCCGAAGAACTATAGCACCGAGTTCACCACCTTGAGTTCTTGCCTCCTGGGGAGTAGTTGCACTCCTAGCGCTGCTAACTTCAGCTCCGGATTGCGATGCCGAAGAAGGACTCACTGATCCCAGTCTTGACAGAACTTCAGTCAACAGTTCTTCCATCCGGGCAACTTTTTGGTTAAGTTTTTGCACTTCAAGTTTAACATCAACTTTAAAGTCCATAATGTTTGTCATGATTTCTTTGTATTCTGCTGGTGTCGCCACAGGTTGAGGTTTGAATGTGGCTTCACTTGATTTCTGCTCACTTTTTATAATTCCACTATCATAAGAATCAAATTTCTTCATGGTAGACGACCTTGTAGGACGGTCTTCCAGTTCTACAATTTCTTCGATGGTGTCTTGTCTAGATACAGTTGCTGGAGTCAACCCAGATGAAGTTGCTGTCACTTTCTGGAGTTTGGGGAAAACTTTGTTGCCCGACCCACCACCATTTCCTCCGGTGCTTGACCCAGATGACTTGGAAGGAGAGTCTCGGACGGAATGAGTTCTTGAAATTGAAGCAGCACTACCTGTTTCTGTACCAGAATCCAAACTGCTCCCCAACAGTCTGCCCCACTTGCTGGCCCTGATAGTCGTTGGACGAGCAGGGACAAGTGCAGTCGTTGCAGCTCCACTATGTGAAGGGTCTTCTTTTTCTGCCACATTCGATAACTTGGGTGGTATGGGACTTACTGACGATTCATTAGGTTTTTCACCTTTTTCAGGATCTTGAGTTGGACTTTGGGAAGGTTGGGGTGTCAATGCAGTCCTGTCTCTCCTGAACTTTGAAAATATTTTTCTCACTAAATGATCCTGATTCTGATCCAACTGTGGCTCATTTTTCCTCCTCTCTGCCAGTTCTTTCTCCCTTCTAACATCTGCGACTTTTCTAAATATCAACTAAAATATAAAAAAAATACTCATAAACTTTTTTAATAGTCAAAAATTGTTTTGTCTTAAAATATTTCATTAAACGAATGCTGTAATAATGCCAAATATAATGACCATTTACATGATAACAGGCAGTAGCAATTTACAAATACCCTTAACTTACCCGATGTCTCAAGTTGTATGTAAGAATCAAATTTCTGGCAAAAGAGTTAGCAAATGCTTGATAAAAATCCAAAACTTCAAGTAATCTATCCCTCTTAATTGTATGCAAATCACAGTAAGTCAGAGCCCTCACATTCGCCGCTGATTGCCCAATTGCCGTATCCTTCCAGAAAGAGTCACCAAAGACGTCTCCTTTCCCTATATCAACATGAAGTTAAAAATACTCAAAATGGACCTTGGAAAGCAAACCAAAAGATGAAAAATTCAATACCTAAAATGGCGACCACTTCATCGTCCTGTATGACTTCGAGAGAGCCGGTCACAATGAAGCAAAGTGAGTCTATCGACTCCCCGGTGTGGTACAGGAGGTCACCGGGTGCCGAGTGGCTCATTGTAAAATGCATCGCCAGTGCCCTCAGGCATCCATCACTGGCTAGCCTGAACGCAGGGTGCTCGTTAAAAACTTTACGATTTAAATGCACACATATATCGGCCTTCATGTCTTTTGGACAATAGTTCAGTACCTAGGTAAAGATTATGACTATAATTGACTTGATTATTAAGTGAAAACTATGTACTACCTGGCTAAAGATAAAATAGTCATTAAAATTGAATAGACCAATGTTAATAGTTTTAGTAAAACTAATTGTATGTATTAATTATATTACACTTTGGTCTGCTCATTTTTGTTTAACAAATTCTAATTGCAGCATGGCTCTGCAGCAGAAGGTAATAGTAGCTTAAAGTTTTCATTTTTATTTTAGAGCATTCAAAGTCAATATTACAATTGCCAGAGCTTTAAACAAAAAATTGCTGCATTTGCATTTAAGCTGCCAACGGCTTTGCAACAAAGGAAAACTTAATTCAATCAAAATGAGTTTTTTATAAACTTTCAAAGAATCTCTGAATGACAATCCATATGATAATAGAGAATAAATCTATGATCTAAGCTTGGCACAAACATTTTACATACATATGAAAAACAATATGTTCATAATTTACTCTTTTTATTTTAGTTGTTAATTTACAGCATGGACATTTATAGCTGGAGGCCAAGACTATATATTTGTAGAGATAAAATAAAAATAAATTCACATTATACATTGGATTAAAAGTAAAAATTTACTAGCTATGTGTGGTGAGTAGTGACCGTTAGTCGATAATTATTCAGAAATCGTGAGATGTGGCCTGGTGTGATGTAGGTTTCAGAAAAACATTTTCTTTATCGATAAAGAAAATGTTTTTCTGAAACCTACATCACATCAGACCGCATTTCACGATTTCTGAATAATTACTAGCTATGTTTAGCTTGTCTAGTCACGTTACATGCTAAGTTCTGCAGATAATGAAAAACAAAATTTATATTAACTTATTATATTTGTTATTAATTTAATGCAAAAGTAATGTGCCAAACTTGAAATAATAGTTAAAAAAATAGAAAAAAGCAAACAATAATAAACAATCACAGGGGCGCAAAGCAGAACCTTATCAGTATCCAATCCTTTTGTCATTGCCCAAGTGGATACTACATAATCCATTACTCTTTCCGATAATGCTTTTGGCACTTCATGAAGTTTCATGAACTCTCTAACATTATTCAACATATCATGATATTTGGCCGTTGCCGATGTCATTTGCTGGATTATTGTTGTGACATGGCCAAAAATTGTTGCATAAAGTAGAGCTATGGAAGTATAAAGTTTTCTTTAGACATTATGTAAAAATATATCAACTGTCTACATTGATTTTACCTGCTATGATCATCATACAAATTGTGAAAATCTTTTCATTGTCAGTTTCAGCGGCGACATTTCCAAAGCCTACACTAGTCATACACGTCATTGTAAAATATAAGGCAGTTACGTACATCGTTTTTCTTGAAGGCCCGTTTATCAATTCAGGCGAACTTGTCTCATTCGACCAAATGTACGCATACGGAGACTGTGTTACATTGGCCAATTTCCACAGCCAAGAGTATTGGAGTCCATTGTCTGCATCCGATCTCCCTACAATTCATAACCATTGAAAAACTAATAAAAAAAAATTAAAATGTATAGTTTTGATTACCTATTGAGTACCAAATGCAGGCAAGCCAGTGAGCAACGAGCATGTAGAAACACAAAAGTAGTATCAACATTGCCGCACCATACTCTAAATATCTGTCAAGTTTTCTGACTACTCTCCCCAGTCTCAACAATCTTACTACTTTCAATGCACTGAACAAACTTCCTATGCCCTGAATGGATTAACACAACAAATAAATTTACTTTAATTGTGTTGTTTTTTTCTAATGCATATATTAAATTAACATAATTTGTTTGTATAAAAATAAACTAGTTTGTTTGTAATTTATTGCCTGGCAATCTTCTTTGTAAAAACAGAACTGACAAAATATATCAAACAATGTTTTTTCTTCATTTTTGCTGTCATACTTTTTTATTTTATGTATTTATTTTTTATGAATGGTTCAAGTTTTATTATTTCTAGGCTTTTTTTTAGGTTTTTTAAGGGGATTTGCAAATATCCGGATCATTGCAAAACCAAATTTGTCAGTAAAATCATCTTTTTCATCAATTGTATTGATGTAGTTCCTCCTGATCACTGCATCAGCTTTCCAGTTCCATTTTTGGGAGACCACAACACGTGTGAGAATTGAGTTGAGTATCAGTGTGTTCTTCCATCGAAGAAACTCATTTTTGAAGGGGGGGGATCAAATTTAGGGCCACTGAGAACTGACCCCACCCCAGAGCATCCATTGATGAGTGCCACGTCAATTTTCATTGCGGCCACCGGCCCCCTCAGGCATCAGAAAAAAGTCCAGAGGAGACGGTGGGAATCAAACCCATGGCTGCAAGATCTACTAGCCGAGAGTCCGACGCCTTATCTACTTGGCTACTGCGGTCACTATTGTATTGACATACCGTCATAACCATTTTGTTATTCAAGAAGGGTAACATCCAAAAATGTAGCACAGCAATTTAAAAAAACAATGGTTATTACATGATTTTATTTTATTTTTATGAAACAAAGAAGATTTATTATTATGCCAAACCACATTTCAAACAGTCACAGCTATATAATTTGTAAATAAGCCTTAGTTTTACATGATCAGACTTAATTTTTTAATCAACCAAATGTATTTCTTTAACCTTCGAGCGGTCGTGCTGGAGTAGTTTGTACCCTAGTGTGTTTTTTTTTCTTGTCTTGCAAACTGATCCCTCTGGTTTTGTTCAATTCTAAAAATCATCTATAAGAATGAGATGGGATGAGTAGCCAGTCACCATATTTGTACTGTTAGTGCGCTACCTTGATTGACTTCTTATGTACATTTTTTTAACCATCTACTTTAATATTTTTCTGACAATTATGCATATTCATTCCTTCTAATTTATTTCTGACACTTGTTAATTTATTTGTCTTACATAATTTACTATTAAGATTATTTTCTAATCAGAGAGAGAAATTCACTGATATATGAACAATGCAAGAATTAGTTTTCAGCCTGTTGAATTTGTTGGAACATCATTTCTCATAGGAACTTGCAAAAGTGGTCATGTAATTGTATCGGAATTGTGCAGTTCAGATGGTGTAAATGTAATTAGAAAATTTAACAAATGCACAAGAGCTCATTTAAGCATGTGGTTGCATTATTTTTCCTATGATATGTCATATTCACCTCTTGAGATCATAAAATGCTTTGTATATCTAGTAAAATTTGTAACGGAAATCTAACAACAGACAATTTTTAGCTGAAAACACAACTGCTCGAAGGGTAAAGACAAATATACCAAAATATTTATTAAAAGGATAGGTCCTACTCACAGAAGTTGTTTTGCAACGACCGGATTTCGAGCCTTTTAGCTCATCATCAGTTGAAGGACTTCTACAACCACGTCTCTCGACATGAATTGCCAAAGTGAACCGCTGATACCTCCGCCAACGCAACGTTCCAATTATCAGCTGATTTTTTTAATGACGCTCAATTTGAACGTGCGAAACGCGGAAATTATAACACAAATAAATATTAGAATAATAAATATTTAATATTACTATAAAAATAATAACAATTAAAATAATTAGTTTAATTATTTGGATGTTTGATATTATTTATGTACATATTTAAAATGGGAGGTAGATCAAAATCTGTTATATTATTAATGCATTTATCACCATGTTCAATTTTACATTTTTTAATTTCAAATTTCTCAAACCAATCTA